CAAAATATATTTTAAGACGACTATAGGCATTTTTCCTTTGTAAGAATCTAGACAAGAGAAATGTTTCTGTATTATAGTATCAACTGTATTATGTTCAATATAATCTAATTTATTGTCTGATGTCAAACAACTGACAACGAAAGTGTTTATCCTTGCTTCTGTTTTATATACGTTCATTCGCTATAAACATAAATAATCATAATCAGACGTTCTCTTTTATGTTTGTGTTCTAACGAACTTTCAATATTATAACCCATCACACACATTCTATCTTATGTAACACCCTAAGAATAAGAGACTCGAAGGACAGATCAAGATCAAGACATAATTATTTTTTCTTTGTAGACCAATATAGACAACATAGAGAACATTGTTGTATCGCGGTGAAATTTATCAAAAAAAAATTCATTCGACAAAAATACTAATTGCTCACGGTGACAGAATTCTAATAATTAATTAAGATTGAACATTCAAACTGTATTCTTTCGTCATTATTTCAACATACAACATTTTATTTAACTTGATTTTTTTAATTTGATGGATATCTGGATGATTCTTGCTTAATACCGATTGTTGAAATCTGACTTTTCGGCTTGAAATTGGGTTTATTAAACTTCTAGACTTATTTTATCTTATAAAAGGTCACTTACCTGCGAAAGAGACGGGCGGCGCGGAAGTTTAATAACAACAGGTCGCGTCCCGACAAAACCTTGTGTTTTACCTGATTTAAACAATTGAGAGCACAATGATGCAGTTGTTTGCTATGGGCTCCATTAATCTGTTCTCGCTTGACGGGACCTCCCCCCCCGCGTAGGTGACGACATATAATGACAACTGTGCGAAGTATCCAGAAGATGATTTTTTTCAAAGCCTGATAAATTTGATTCAGCATCAACTTTTTCAATTAATATGAAATATAAACTAGTAAAACATAAACATATATTGATCGTCGAGCAGTTTGTTTTGCTTCTGTGTGCAGACAACGTGAAAAAATGGTTTCAGTTGCCGAATTTAGGGTGCAGAAGACTATCAAAATTTTCAATCATACCCGTGAGGTCAGAGGACTGTTGTCCGGATAGCTGAGCTCCACAACAGGTGAGAAATTTCTACTGTGGCTGACATTGAGAAAACGTTGGTCAACAGAGAGCAGAGGCGATATTTGCGTCGCTCATTTCAAAAATAGACCGCAGACCCGATAGCCTATATTCATGGAATCTTATCCACACGTACCAGGGTTGTCTCTTATTTTTATGAAAATTTCAGAGTTTGTAAAGCGTTCAGTTTGAAACATTTTTGCAAAGAAAACTCTTTAAATGATCTCTGTTTTAGTGAAGTTAGGACTCAAGTCCTAAAAGTGAATTTTTAAAGAGATGAGTTAAAAAAGACATTTTTTGTACTCTAAAAAAAAGCGTATGCTAAAAAACTCTAAATGCTTCACCTTTTTGAAAACTCTTTTCCGTATTCGTGATGATCTCGAAAACCTCTTCAGTAAAAAAATTTTTTCCGCATATCCAAAAGAGTATCCTCGAATACCAAACACGGTATTTTAGAAAACTCTTTATTGCTTAAACAATTTCGAAAATCGAAAAAATATTAGAAAATTCTATTGTCAGTTTTAGAAAATTATCGATATTGATGAGAAAAGGATTACTGGTGAAAATGTTTTGAGCAATTTACCGGGTATTCTCCTTTCGCAAGTTAAAAATCGACTAAAACGGTCACAACTTGAGAAGAAGTGAAACGCTGCAAGCACGAACCTTCTAGGCCTAGACTCTCGAGGAACTACATTCGCGTAAAAAGTGAATCAGTTAAGCACAGGTGATTACTCGTAGCTCGTTGATAAGCGTTTCATCGAGTGCTCATCTCGTTTCTCCCCGTTGTTGACCGGTTGACGATGAACTAGGACCAATGACTCTTCGTAGGGATGGATCGCGACATGGTGACTAAAAAGCTCAGTTCATGGGTATTTTTTAAACTATTTGACGCTTGTATGTACAGAATGTAAAAAAATGATTACTTTCTAATAAAAAAAGAGAATTACTATCATTCTGCGTTCGAATCAAAACATGAGAAAACGTTACTTTCTAGTGAAATTTATCGTGCTTGCTCATCTTTGTTTATTTGGTTTGCACGATTGTTGCGTTCAAGTCAACATTCACATGTGATCAATCGCGATTTCCAAGCTAGGTACCAGATCAAGATCGACAATTCAACTGTGGCACTGTCGTGTACCTGTTCTCAGAGAAATTGTTCATATGCAAAGAATGAATCGATCATCGTCGGGGAGACATTTCAAAACTTGGAATACGTATTTCCAATATTCGCTTCTAAGTTGTTGATAATAGCCTTTCGAGCTGTACCTTCAATTTTTGTATTGCCAAGTATCAATTTCATACGCACTTCTTCCTCCATTTGTCTTCATTTTGTACTTGGTACGTGCTCTACTTTTGTAGAGCAGAAGCATGCATTAGAAAGTGAATTTTAGCATGGCTAGAAGTGATACATAATTTGTTATATTTTTAATATTTGTTAAGATATACTTTGTCTTCGTAAAATTTATTATTTACAATCAACATTTAGGCGTTTCGATTGCAACGTGCAATCGTCTTCAGTATAACATAAAATAAAATTCCAACATAAAATTAATAAAACAAATGTATATATATATGTTACAGTGGAAATTAAAATTTCAATTTCCACTGACAAGAATCCAGTGGAAATTGAAATTTTAAACTCCACTAGTGAAGATTGAAATTTTAATTTCTACTAGTGGAATTTTAATTTCCACTGTAACATATACAAAAAAAACAATTCTCGTTTACATTGTAATGTGTACAGTAGATGTTAAAACTGTAATGTGATCATTCTTTTTCTTTACATATATTCATACAGTGGCGGAGCAACCGTTTGTGTGAGGGGTGTGTACACCCTCCCTGCTTTTAGAAATTTCATTGGAAATTTGCTCCGATGTGAGGCAAAAGTGCGGGAAACTTATTCCAGTTTTGTGAAAGAATGGAGTGAGTTTACTCCGATTTTGGCAAACTTTTGTTGCAACTTTTACGGTTTTTGCGCAGATACTTGGTGTTTTCTCCAATTTCTGGCCATCTTTGCTACAAAAATGCGACAAAATCGGGAAAAGCTAGAGCAAGAAGAAACACCTCCTTCTCAAAGATGGGCAGGTCCAAGTCCCTGCTTGAAGTGGGAGACTTGAACTTAAGTGTTTTTTATCAGGTCCAGTTAGAATCTATCATAATCAAGAATGAAGTCAGTGTAATCTTAAACGTAATTGAATCTCTTTTTTCGTCAAATATATATCTAATGTGAAACGGAACAGTGATTAAACTTTATATAGTCGTCGTATATGATTATAAGATGTGTCCACTTGATTTATTGAGAAGACGCAAAAATAATTAGTGTAGTGATTCTGTTTTCTGCTATAAACTTGACTGGACTAATTAGACAGAACAGGCTAATGAATAACAATGGATATTGTATCTTTTCGTTTTTGAACATCTCTCACACTACATGAAGGAACAATAAAAAAATGCTGTCTCCTTCGTGTGTCTGCAAAATGTGGGGATAACTGATTATACAACAGTAAGTCCGAAAAGAAAAAGTGGAGAATTTTGTATTATTTCTTTTACTTTATCAAACTTGCCAGAAAATCTTTTTGAACTTACTCTAGTTTTTGAAACTACCACCCCCTGCTTTAATTTCTTCGCACTGCCACTGTATTTATACCTCTACTTCAAACTTTTCTTATTCTTATCACTCGACTAAACTAAAGAACGTTAATGAAAAATAGGCTATTTTATTTTATTTTAGTGGACCTAGATTAAAATATATGACATAAATATAACGTCGAAGATGACCCTCATTATATAAAAGTACGACTTGAATAGAAGATTGATGAGGAATATGTTGATAAACTAAACATTAAACATATATCTGGAAAATCTCTCAAAGTTCAATGAAAACACTCCTTATAGTTTTCTATTCTGTTTCCTAAATTCATATCTAGCATTTAGATTTCGTTATGTGGTTTCTGTAGCCGAGTTGCTAATATCCTTAGTTATATTTATTGGATAAAACGATTCTCCTGATCTTGGTCTAATTCACTGTTTAATAATGGATTTCCATTGTGGACTAATTTGTTTGCATCGATTGTAACCTACATTTGCTATGGTATACACTGTCTCTAGTGTTTTTCTTCTATTACAGTTCTTTTCTTTATCAAAAAAAATAATAATTCTTTTTGGACAAGAATTTAAAAGATCTCGGAAATATCGCGGATTAGATCTCGATTGACTTAGTTGTACAAGAAAACATGGAAAAGATCTCGATTTTTAAAAATAAATTTTTTATTTCAAAATCATGGAATGGATCTCAGAAAAAATATGTAATAGGTCTCAATTCAGTTAATTGGATGGAAAACATGGAAGAGATCTCGGTTGTTTTTTGCACAAGTTTGTAACTAACACAACACTATGTTTGTTATCATAGATTAATTAGGCCTAATACAGATTATTTTTGTGGTAATTTTTAGTATTTTAAAACTAATAAATAAGAAATTTCATTTTTCATCTATTTACAAAAACTTTCAACAAATACAAACACCATGAGGAATCAATGTATAAGTTTATGAGAATTTTTAACAAATAAACATAAACGCAGAAACAGAGATATTATATGATGACGATGAGGATAGTAATAATCCTAATAATGATGTCAGTCTTTTGATAATGCATATTTTACTTTTTTCGGACGACCTTTTCCACGACGTTTTCCAATTTCTTGCGGCATTTGTCGAGTACCCCATAAAAGCATCATACCAACTGTATGAACACAGGCAAATTCTTTGAGACCATATCGACATGTACAAAATATTGGTGGTAAAAAACGAGAAAAATCTAATAAACGTACTGAATGAAGTCAATCTTTAAAATGATCATATGAATCCCATGCCATTGAATGTAATAGATTAACCCATGTTGATGTATTCATTTTTTGATCTTTTGATGAAAGTTTCTTTGAACAAAGTTAAGTGTAGTCAATTGTAATATTTGTGTCTTATCAACTTTTTTCACGCATTCGACTGCTTCTAAATTAAGATCATCTTTGTACGTAATATGAGTTGCAAATGGTGTTTGTTCATTTTGAATAGACCAATCTTTGACCATTCGTTCAGCCGTTTGTAAAAATGCAGATAGTGGTAATTTGTGCCGCATTGTATAATGTTGTTTTATTCGACCATTTAAGCTTTCCAAACCATTATTTGTTGATGGCGTTAAAATACAGGCACCTTCATACCAAAAACTTAATACTGTCAACCATTGTTGTTCAAAATAGTCCGTGAATTTTTCTAAATCTTTATCTAATTTCCATTTATTAATCATAAGATTGGCTGCTGTGACAAATATTTGATCACTAAATGATAGTTGTAATTGCATAATATCTTGTTCAACTAATAAAAATTTGTCTTTATTTTTAATTAATGTTCCATGTGCACGAACTTTACGGACGACATGTGCCCAGCACATTAAACGACGCGCTAATGGTAATTCACACATGGCTCCCGTAATACCTGCTGCACCATCCCTCATAACATGTGATATGGTATATGCTTGATTATTGATAATCGATGTCCAAACTTGAATACCACGAAAAAAAATTTTGAATGTTTCTGATGATTCATCTGAAGATATTAAACATACACCCATAGGATAAAATCGACGATTGAAATCTGATGTACCAAAGACTAATAATGGTAACTCGTTAGCTGTGACTTTATATGTACAATCAATATATAATCCAGAGGAATATTTACATGTTGAAAGTAATTGACGTGTAGTAAACAAATAAATGTATTATTTACATCCACAGCTTCAAAATATGGTACGAAAACGTCACCCTATAAAAAAAGATTAATATGGCAGAGCCTGCTAACAAGCCTGCACATTCAGTTCCAGCAGGCAAAATTCTCACGAGCAGACCTGCTCAGGTCTGCTCGTGAGAATTTTGCC